CACTCACTAGCACTAAGACGTTGGATTAGGCATTGGACATTAAGATGGGTCAGTGTGCATGGCAAAGGGATGAAAAGCTGAGACGGAAACATGCGTCTCCACAGAAGAGCAGCATGAAAAGAAACTCATGCAGGTAAAGATCTCCTTCAGGGCAGGGACTTTGGTCTTGTCCTGTGTCCCTGTCTGCTAGCATAATCCCTACCTGTCACAGCCCCTCAACAAATCCATTTCTATCACAGAAAGGGTGAAGGCTAGATGTGAATGGAGACTAGATGTCCAATTCACTCACATTGGACATAGGTTACTTGAATTCTCTGTATCTGTTTCCCCGTCTGTAAAAGGAGCATGAAAGGGTCTCTATGTTGTGGCGTTGTTATGTGCCTGGCATGTAGCATGTGTAGTAGGCTCTTTTATATGTATAGGCCATGATCACGATGATGATGACGATGACAGTGACAATGATGGTTACTGGGTTTTCTGTTATATGCAGGTAAACCTAAGCTGGTACATGTGTTCACAATGGCCAAGCCAGAGCGGGTTTTCTCCTGAACAAAGGAAGAGACATTACTCCTCAATACCTTTCAGTAGCTCCGCTGGGAAGCCATGAGCTCAGAAGCACAGAGGCCGGCCAGGCATGGTGGCTCGTGCCTGTAATCCCAGCACTTTGGGAGGCCAAGGTGGGAGGATCAGTTGAACACAGATGTTCAAGACCAGCCTGAGAAACGTGGTGAAATGCCAACTATACATAAAATACGTAAACTAGCCAGGCATGGCGGCACACACCTGTAGTCCCAGCTACCCGGGAAGCTGAGATGGGAGATGGCTTGAGCCTGGGAAGTTGAGACTGCAGTGAGCCAAGATCCCACCACTGCACCCAGCCTGAGTGACAGAGCCAGACCCTGTCTCCAGAAAAATAGAGCAGAGACCACTTTCAAGACAGAGCACACTGGTGCAACAGAAAATAACCCACTTAGCCACCCACTGGTTCAGTTGTGCTAAGTCAGCATTCAACTTGCGGACAATAAAAAAGGCTCTTCAAGGATGCGTGGGGAAAAGGAGGGAGGAAAACAGAGACTGAAGCTCCAGCCTGAGGCCCCAGAGGGAGTGCGGGTGAGAGGTCAGGGCCCCCAACGGGGTGCAGGGGCATTGGGGTGCTCAGGGCGGACACCAGGGCAGGCCGTCTTTGCAGGACACAGACCGGCATCTTCAGCCCAGGCTGGAGGGGCTTCCCCAAGGCCCCCCTTGTTCTGGGAGCAAGGACACTCCGCCGCCTTTTTTAGTACAGAGCACCTGACCCCTCCTGTCTCCCTTGGCCCAGCTTCTCATCTAGGCTGTGGCCATTAATAAGGCTTCTTTCTTAAATAAGAGCAAATTAAAAGGGGAAGAATTTCCTTGCAGCCAACTGATTTCTTGATTTTTTTTTTTTTTTTTTTTTTTGAGAGTTTCGTTCGTGTTGCCTAGGCTGGAGTATAATGGCACGATCTCAGCTCACTGCAAACTCTGCCTCCCAGGTTCAAGTGATTCTCCTTCCTCAGCCTCTCGAGTGCTGTGATTACAGGCATGCGCCACCACGCCCTGCTAATTTTGTATTGTTAGTAGAGACGAGGTTTCTCCATGTTGGTCAGGCTGGTCTCCTGACCTCAGGTGATCTGCCTGCCTGGGCCTCCCAGAGCACTGGGATTACAGGTGTGAGCCACCGCGTGTGAGCCACCGCGCTCGGCCCATTTTCTTGTTTTTTAAATAGTGCTTTTGGAATATCAAGGTGCTTTTGAGTTGATGTATTTTAATTATTTTTAGCCAAAGAACTTATTAACCTTTTGCTACGTTTCAGTTGGTTTTTTAAGGGAGAGCAGTAAAGGGCTTGGGCAGGCAATATGAGCCAGTGTTGGGGGTGCTAACCCTGCCCGGGGCTGTCACCCCTTCTCCATGCCTGCCCAGGCCACCCTGCTGGGGGAACAGTGACCCTTCAGGATGGGGAAGCCCCTGGCTGGCAAGCTGACAATTTCTGCGTGAGCAATTTGCACATCAAAGTTGTCAGCAGACTGCAAGCTTCCCGGCCATCTTTCATGTCCCTGGATGGAAACCAGCCTGGTCATCAGCAAAGAACATGGCAGGCACGACCTGCTGGGAGCAAAGACCACGCGAAGCGCCTTGGTGAAGGAGAAGCATAAGGGGCTGCGTGCAAAATCCTCAGCAGAGGTTCTCCACCACTCAGCCCAGTGCAGGCAGGCACAGCCCGGAGGCCGCTGGACTGGGCAAGCTCCCGGGAAGGTGCTCCCGTCTTCCATGAGAGGGAATGTCCAGCATCTCCAGTCAGGAAGATGAATGAGACAAGACCACCCTTCTCCCAGCCCTCCCCAGCCCCACTTCCCTTTTCCCACCCCAGTTCTCGGGATTTCTTGTGGTCCTGCCTTGTGTGTTACCTTCCTTTTCAATGTTTCACCCAGCATACACGCATCATTTGCTCTTTCACAAATGAGCACAAATAATCTCCAATAACAATCTTGCTCTAGGACAAAGTTTCATATAAAATTTTATTCCCTACTTAGACCCTTAATAATCACACAGGATTATAATATTTAATGATTTAGACTTCAGATTTCCTATGTTCAGAATGGAGCTTCCCAAATAAACAGGGGCTGGTTATTTTCAGTCTCATCAAATATAACCTAAACGAGTTGTGTATACATGTACATGTCTTTCAGCTAAAAGGGAAAAACAAAGTACCTATAAGTCATTAGAAGAAAACATAGAAGAAAAAGATTGTTCATTTGGGGTTGGAAAGGCCTTCTTAAAAAAAAACAACACAGAATGCAAATATCAAAAAAAAAAAAAAAAANAAAAAAAAAAAAAAAGAAAAGTTTGATAGATTTGGCTAAGTCATAATTTAAATCTTCTGCACCACAGAAGATACCTTAATAAGTGATGAAACAAGAGGAACTGCACGCCACATGAATGAAATATGATCCCAAATACGTATCAACCTCCACGAAAAGTGACACCAAAACGTGAAACAAAAACGGAGAGTCGGGGTGCGGTGGCTCACACCTGTGATCCCAGCGCTTTGGGAGACAAGGCAGGTGGATCGACTGAGGTCAGGAGCTTGAGACAAACCTGGCCAACGTGACAAAACCCCCATCTCTACTAAAACTACACAGATTAGCCCTGTAATCCCAACTACTCTGGAGGCTGAGGCAGGAGAATCACTTGAACCTGGGAGGCGGAGGTTGAAGTAAGCCAAGATCGCGCCCCTGCACTCCAGCCTGAGTGGCAGAGCGAGACTGTTTAAAAAAAAATTTTAAATAAAATAATAAAATTCACTGTCGGACGCGGTGGCTCAAGCCTGTAATCCCAGCACTTTGGGAGGCCGAGGCGGGTGGATCACGAGGTCAAGAGATCGAGACCATCCTGGTCAACATGGTGAAACCCCATCTCTACTAAAAATGCAAAAAATTAGCTGGGCATGGTGGCACGTGCCTGTAATCCCAGCTACTCAGGAGGCTGAGGCAGAAGAACTGCCTGAACCCAGGAGGCAGAGGCTGCGGTGAGCCGAGGTCGCGCCATTGCACTCCAGCCTGGGTAACAAGAGTGAAACTCTGTCTCAATAAATAAATAAATAAATAAATAAAATTCCAACCCCCCACTGCCATCCTTAGGAAAAAACAAACAAATGAGACATGGATATAAATAAGAAATGTATAAAAACAGGAAATTAAAATGGTTGAAAAACGTGAAAAGATGCTCAGTCTCAAAACAACTGGGAAAATGAAAATTAAAACGAGATACAATTCTCTATGGGGAAGGGCCTCTCTCGCCCCCTGCTGGTGGTTGGGCACACCGCAGAACTTTGAAAAGGGCGCCATGGCAGTGACTACAGCAGTAAAACGCACATTCTCTTAAATCCGGCAGATCTCATTTCCGCAGTCCTATATTAAAAGACATCCATCTGTGTATACAATTCGGTAGGTACAAGGATCTTCATTACTAGCAAATCGTAAAAACTGGGACCATCTGAATAGTTAGTCCATGAAAAAATGGTTAAATGAACCATGGTGCACTTCTGCTGAGGAATACTACACAGCAATGAAAAAGAACAAAGCGGGAGCCAACAGCTCTCCCCAAAACACAGTGAGTGAGTGAATGGGACCCTATGTCCCATGGGGTCCTGTTTGCACAGCATAGAGGGAAGAACACATTAAAAAGATATTTCTAGGCTGGGCGTAGTGGCTTATGCCTATAATCCCAGCACTTTGGGAGGCCAAGGCAGGTGAATCACCTGAGGTCGGGAGTTTGAGATCAGCCTGACCAACATGGAGAGACCCTGTCTCTACTGAAACATATAAAATCAGCCGAGTGTGGTGGCACATGCCTATAATCCCAGCTATTCAGGAGGCTGAAGCAGGAGTATCACTTGAACCAAGGAGGTGGAGGTTGCAGTGAACCAAGATAGTGCCATTGCACTCCAGCTTGGGCAACAAAAGTAAACCTCTGTCTCAAAAAAAAAAATAGATATTTCTAGAAGGATGTACAAGTAGCTGGTCTGAGGGACTGTCCTCGGGGAAGGTAAAGTCACTTTTCATCTGAGAGCTTTGTACAATGTTTAAATTTTTTCTCCCATACTTGTGTATTACTTTTATAGCTGTCAAAAGAAAATAAAACTAGTATTTAAATTATTTAAAAAGCTCTCTAGGGACATATTTTAACTAAAGAAACTGACAGACCACCTGTACAAGGCACCGTTTAGGTAAAAGAACACATAGAAACGGAACTATATTCTTGTTTTTACGTGTGTACGTAAATTCATGGCAACACTCCTGCCATGAAGGATGCCCACCTGCCAATGGGTTCTTCTGGAAAGAAGCGAATTGTAAAGAGATCATGTGACAGACTACTCGTGGGGAACGCACAAGTTTTAAATCTTACCTTTGAAAAATAAAGTGGAAGTTTGTCACAATAAGAAAGTGCACATCTATTTCAATGAAAAGAAGGAAGTGACGTGGAAATCCTGGCATATTTCATTGTTTCATTCTCTATATGCACTTAAGTTTATTCAAATATACTTTTGGACCATAAGAATGTTTTATTTAGCAAGTGATTTTTTTTATTCTTTAGCCACAATTCTCCCACATTTTTACATTACCACAATTTTTCCATATTTTTTATACATTAGATACACAGTTTGTTAGAAGTTAAAAGGGAAAAACATTCTTTTTGTTGAATAATATCACATTATATTTAATTTAAAGATTATTAACTTTTTGAATATCAAAAATTGAAGCTGCTGGGAATCACATTTATTTGTAGGTCCCAAAATAGCCCTGAGGTCTGAATAGGAAAATATCTTTTATAAACTCTAACAAAACTCTCACCTCAAAATAAAACACTATGAAATTTATACAATTGTATCTGTACTCAGTATCTTTACAATATCCAGAAACCTACTGGATTTTTAGAAACGACAATGCAAATAGGTTTACATTCAGAAGAGAGCTTATACTAAGAGGACCTAACTGGAAACCTGGCACCCTGTGCAGGAATCTGTTCAATCCTTAGAATGGTGATAAAGTCATCTTTGTTAAAAACACAGGTCCTTGGACACCCCAAATGCCAGGCAGAACAAAGAGAATTCCAGAACATTGGCTTTTACTGTTCATCTGAAGGGTTATAATTGCTAGTCATATTTCTGGGCCTGCCATCGCCTTTTGCAGTTTTCATCGAGTGTATCCATAGCTGTGCAGTTCTAAACCAGCTTCTAGAACTTTTGCTTAAAAACTGGTGTGAGGGTGCCTCCACTCCGATCTCCCAAAACTTCATAAAGCATCCGGCCAATGTGGACCATTGCTTTACCTGATGGATAGCTTCATTTTTTCTCCTTTTTATTTGAAAACAATAGAAGGATGTAGTATTATGACAAAACTATTTCCCTCAAAAACCGAACTGTGTTAGCACTGATTAGAGTATCTGACGTGTAGGCAGACCTGGGAAAATACCAGGGCTTCCTCAAGGAGATGTTGATTCTGAGGGTAATCCGCAGCCACATGCTGAGGGCAGAATGCCTGGGGAGCTCTTCCAGGGTGGAAAGAACCCTCCTGGGCCTGGGGCCCTGGATCTGAGTGCCTCCATGCGGCCAAGGCATTCTAGATGAGCCAAAGGGGTTCTAGATGAGCCGCCTGGGTCAACCCTGCCTTTTAATAAAGACCTGTGTTGTAACAGCTCCAGCTGTGTTCTGTGCCACAGTGGGCAGGGTGCTCACAGTGGGTCCTGGGACCATGCGAGACCCCACAAGTCCACTGAACAGCACGCCATCAAAGCAGGTCCCATCTGCCCCTGCCTGGAGCCCACAGCCAAGCAACGGCAGCATCATCACCTTTGCCAGCACAAAGCCCAAGTGTCCTTTCAGTTCATTTCACGTGCTTGCCTGCGCACACACTCACACCTTAGTGTTGGCGTCCAGGTTGGCACTGCCTGCTGCCGAGGGCTGTGCCTTTTATCAAGTCTTATTTTGGGCTGGGTCAGCATGAGAAACCGTGTATGCAACACCGGCCTTCAACCGAGTCACTCGAAAATTAGTCACATGAACCCAGGTAGTGTATGTGTTTTTCTTTATCCTGTTTCTTTCAAAAACAGCGTCCAGAGGAGTTTTTTTTTTTAGCCACTTATTTACAGTGTTAATGAAGGAACCCGTGAGTGCAAGGGCACAGAAAGCAGCTGACTGGAGTTACACCGACGCAGAAGCAAGACCCAAGTGCGCACGGGGCAGCATGGGGGTGGGGGTGCAAGCCACGCCTTGGCAGGAACCGCTTTCGTTGTCAGCTCTCGGCAGCTCCTGGCATGCCTGCTGCACTGGCATCCGCCCCACTGCAGCTGTCCTCCACGTGACTTTGTTGTTTCAGACGGATCAGTCATGGTCAGTGTCCTCCGTGTCCTTCCACAGACCGTGGCCCTCCAGGCAGGTGCCGACGGAAAGGGGCTGCAGTAGAAGCCAAGGACCAGGCCCCCCGGTGGTTTCCAAGGGGAATCGCCAACTGCCAGGTGCAGAATCTACACAGCTACCCACGTGGGAGGCGGAGGGCTCATGCTGTAGCATGTGAAAGACCAGTGGTGTCTGGGAGCTGACACAGCACAGGGAGACTGACCACCGGGGGAACAGCGAGCTGTGTCAGGGCGCAAGTGAGCAAGCCTGAGTCTCTGGGCCCATCTGGGGAGAGAGTAACACAGGGCGCACGTCAGGGCTGCAGCTCACTCCCCAAAGCAGGCGTGGCTCCCCAGGGTAAGGATGGACAGACAGCCTTCCCGCGTCATGTAGTGTGGACGACGGGCTGGGGGCAGTGTAGTGTTCTTGCAGGAGGGCTACCAGGGGTGTGTCAGGCCCACGTCCTAAGGCCCATTCATTTCCTCTCTGGGATGCATTTCATCATAATCGCTCAGTACCCATAATTCTTCCCAACTCCTGAAAGCAGCAGGCTTTGCATCCTTTTCAGGCCCGGGGTCTGGCCCTACCCCAGGGGCTTCTCTTTCACTCACAACAGGCTCTTCTCCACTCCAGAAACCTGGTCACTGCAGACAGCAGGGAGAGAAGTGGGCAGAGGGGCCCACTTCTGAAAAGCACAGCCCCTCTTCTGCGTCCATAAATCCTGTTTTCCAATTGACATCATGAACTTCCTCTCTCCTGATCCCAGGAGGAGCCTCTTGTCTCAGGAGTGGCCACGCTGAGATGAAGCCACTGCATTTCTGATCTCGATAGTCCTGAGGTCCCCAGTACTGCCAGGAGTCTGGAGCTTGAGAGGAAGCAAGAAGCCCATGACGTTTCCCACTGCGTCTTCCAAGCGTGGCCAAGGGACAGCCTCTGCACACCAAGGTAATTCCAGATGAGCAGCTCCACGCCGTGCCCTCCTCCCTTCTGATGAGTTTAGTGCTGGGCTGACTGTAGAACACTTTATTCACAGAAGCAAGTAGAAAAAAATGGTCACTGTTAGTTCACGTTCTCCAACGTCAGACCGGAGCACCCACTGTTAGTTCATGTGTTCCAACGTCAGACCAGAGCGGCTGGCTCTGGAGGGAAGAGTGAGGACTGGCCCGTCTGTTCTCATCAGCCACCTCCATGCACACGGAGGTGGATTTCATTGTTGTTGACACATACGTTCCATCCACAAGAGGCAACTCAGAGGGATTGAAGCGACTTCACACCCACCCTAAAGCCGTTTCCGCTGCCAGAGTCCCAAATCTCTAATCACCAAGGAAGTCTCCCTCAGGGGGTGAGCTCCAGGCACCTCAGTTGTAATCAGCAGCATAGACATTGTCTGAGAAATATTTCTTCTGTCCAGTTAAACTATAATTTACTCAAATACTAAAAGGTAGTAAAATAGACTTCAACTTTTCCTCTAACTACATTTATATATAAATCCCTGAGAAGGTACCTGTCAACTTGAAATTCACTATCTACAGTTAATAAACATCAGGGAGCCCTATCCCTGTGCGCAGCAGGGGCTGGGCTGACTCTCCCTTCCCAGCAAAGAGGAGGGGCTGTGTAGTAATTCTAAGCCATCAGCACAGACACTGGCTGGCCAGCCGTTCATTCACTCTGGGGTCGAGGAGGTCCCACCATGGTAACCCCACAGGGACACCACACTGCCTCACAGAGGTCCTGGCATTTCTGTCCTTGGTAGACCTCAGGGTAGGTGGTGCCAGGAACGATCAAGAACTTAACCAACTGGGAGAAGAAAACAGGCAAAGGAAGGAAAAGTGAATAAGGAAGAAGCGACGAGGTGACGAGGGCGGGAGAACGTGGTGACAAAGCCAGAGGGGGCCCTGCGGTGGCCACTGACAGGAGAGGAGAAGGGGTCAGTGCCCATCGCTCCCTTCCCTCCTGAACCACATGGCGGGTGCAGGGAGGGCGAGCCCTCAGTGAGTGAATGCAGCTGTTCAAAGCACTGAAAACAAACAAACAGGAAAAATGTTCTCCAAGGACACCAGGTTTTTGGAGTGGCCACTGGGAGGCCCCTGACTGCCAGATGCCAATGGTGCTAAGTGGGGAAGGGACAAGAAGCCTGTATCCTCCAGCCCCGTCCACATCCTAAGACTGAGGGGCCCGTGTTACCAGTACCTAGAGCTAGAAGAAAGGGCTTCCAAATGGCTCAGGAAGACGAGGGGGCGTTTCTCTCCACCTCTGGGACCAGATGACCACACCTCCCGTGAGGAATCCCTTACCCAAAAGAAGTGAACATAATAACGTTGCTTAAGTATAAATTGGCCCATCAGATCACCCTGACACTGATCCCACAACACCCCCTCTCAAGGTGGCTCCATTTCCCCATCGTCTGGGCTTCCCTCCCTGGCCTCCTTCACTCCCTGAGCCTGACTGGGGGCCTGCTTGTCCCCTCTGATGTCCACTCCAAAGAGAATGAGGAAACAAGAGCAGAAGTCCCCCCACCCCCACAGGTGGAGGAAAGAGGCTTGGTGGCATGTCCCTTGACTTGGAAAATTCCTCTCCCAGCAAATCTGCTTCTGCATGGCAAAAGGGAGAAGCTGGGCCAGCAGCCACAGGCACGGCCACAGAAGCTGCCTGGACCTGCCTCATGCACCAGAGGGAGGGCCTGCCCACAGAGTACGGCTAGAACGAGTCTAGAGAGAGGGACCCGGGAGTCTCCAACTCAATCAGGAATGGCCCTTCTTTCAGTTGGGTCTGGTGGGTTTTCAAAATCCGATCTTCCCACTGAGGCCACACCAAAGCTGCCTGGGAGGTGAGGCTTCCCAGTCCCACCAGAGCCCTCCATGAAGCTGTCATTTTCCCTCAAGTTGCAAACACTGGCCAGGTAACAGCAGCTTCCCCTCACCAGACAAGTGGCCAGCTCACCTTCAGATTTGCCAAAAGAATCCATGTCCTGCCCCACGCTTGCTGGCTCGGGAGGGTTTTCAAAATGCGGGTCTCTCTAGAGCTGTTTTGTGGACGCCAGGAGCATGACCAGACAAGCCCTGTGCTGGCCCCAGGGTCTCCTGTGCACCTGGACAAGGCTGGAACACATCAGGCGCAGGGCCGCAACGTGTCCACTCCAGAACAGCGTGGGACATGGGGAAATCACCAGTCGTTTGCTTGCCCTGGAGACTGTGAGCATGGGCTGTGGTGAGGTAGCAGCTTGGCAGGACCAGAAATGTCCATTTTTGACGTGGAAGCAGCAGACACCCAGGCTTAGGGTAGAAGTGGGGACTCCATACCATTCCCAGTGCCAACTTCCCACAGTGGAAACAGGCAGGAGGCCTGGCAACGCTCCAAGAGTCAGATGCCACGTCAGTCCGCACAGAAGCTGCCCGACCCCGGCTGTTCCCATGACAATGAGACATTCTTGGGTAGGCGAAGCCCTTTGTGGGAGTTCGGGATGGGTGTCCTCTCCCCTCGCAATCACAGTGTTAGCACTGCAGTTCTCCATGCAGGCTGAGCGCAGTCACCTGCGGAGCTGCAGGACAGGCCCAGGGCTTAGCTCCCCCAGCCAATGCCTTGAGAACTTTCGCAGCAGGGGTAGCTGGTGTCCAGAGGCATGCCTGGGAGACCACGTGGTCCTGCCTGGCGTGGTCCTCAGTTGACAGAGGTGAGGGTGGGGCTCGTGGTGACTTGGTAATGCTGTGAATTATGTACATGTGGCAGGAAGGTGCCACAATGCCAGAGGATTCAGCAAAGACAACCCCCAAAGATAACCAGTGTCAGTCACAGTCCCCACCTGCTTGAAGGGGACATGACCAATCCCAACTCCTTGGCCACGAGGGTGACTCAGTCAACCAATATTTGCAGTTCTCTAAGAGGGTCTAGTCCCCTGTGCATTCATCAGAGTGCCTTTTGGGATCATGCAAGAAGTCTGATCTTAAACACTGTATCATCATCACACCAATCTCCCATTAGCCTGTGTGCAGCCTGCAGTCCTGTTCAGGGGAGCTTTTGGAGAGGCCAGTTTAAGATTCCTGGTTGCTCAATGCCTGATGGTGCCAGGAGGAAGGAAGCCCGGAGAAGCCTGCGCCAGCCCTGCCTGTGTCCTGAGACAGACATCCCGTATCACGACGTACCTAGAGTTATTAGGTGTCATAGTACAGAGCCTCCAAATAGGCCTGTGAGCATGTGCGTCCAAGTATTTAAACTAATACTGAAATAAAGTGCATATGTGACAGACACTCTACAACCCACATGGCGAGAGTCATTACAATTAGAAACTCCTGCCTGAGCTTCCAGCTTTCATACCCTGCCCTGCCGAATTAGAATGCTGCAAATCCGATAAAGATTAAAAATACAAAATTATGCAGAAAACGCTCTTTGATAAATTCTAATTGGATCACTGAGAAAAGTGATCTCCATGTCACTTTGGAGATAAAAGTGTGGACATAAAACTCTCACCAAGAGCTTGCAGCCCAAGGCAAATCACACCCATGTCCTGCCCTGCCCAAGGCTCCACATCTTGGAAATTCTATGAGGTTAGCATGAGGATGAACTAAATACTAAGTGCAGTCCTCAAAGGAAAAATAAAAGAAATAGCCACACAAGGGACTCTTTGGAACTGAGTCTGGAGGAGGGGCTCCCCAGTCCACTCCAGGAGAATTTGCCGAAAACAAGTTTACTTCCTATTCCATTCTCATCGCCTGTTCTAAAAACCACCTCCTTCCCATTCCTGTAATTTGCATCGTTCTGGGCTCCTGGCTCTGTTACATCTTTCTTGCATTTTAAGGATATCTGGATTTGATTTACTTAAGAGCGCGTATGGCTTAATTTTGTATTTCTGATAATCATTTGCTAAATTTGCCCCCATTTTATCAAATGACAGTTTTTTCTCCTATTTTTAATAAGTGAAAGTTTTTTTAATCCAGTTTATCTAAAACCCCTTGCTTAATTCTAGCAATAAATACATGTTTATCTCTGAATTGTTTTATAATTTGACAATATGTTTTTCTCCAATATATTACTGTATTAAGAGTTTTTAAAAGATACAATAACATCTGATCTCTCTGTCTCACTTGATCATGTGTCTGAATGAGTCAATGCCTCCATCAAATAGAAATATCTGGCATTACTTCATCTAATTAAAAAGAACATTCAGTGTGCACATGCACCCACGATGAGGAGAAAACACCAAAGCAAATACCCAAAAAAAAGGAGAATCCCAGGATTTCTGTGTGAACTCATAAAGATACCATAAATATTTATCGCTAGAAACAGTATTTTAAACAAAAGGTCTTCGGGCAAGTGTATTAAAACTGCTTTGGATACAAGGGGCCCTATCACTCGTAAAACGTTGCAAATTTGATAAATAATGATTAAAAATACAAAATTACGCAGAAAATGCCCTTTGATAAATTGATCTTTAAAAAAAAAATCTTAATTGAGGTTCTCTAAAAGGAGCCTTCTAGGCAACATGCCCGCTAGGTGTACTGATTGCCGGCGGGCTGGTGACAGGCGAATCGATGTGGCTCCCCCAGCCCCCTCCTGGGAGCAGCCTGGACAGCCAGCCTGGAAACGCGCGGCAGCAGTGCTGCTCCTCGCACCCAGCGCAGCGGAGCCGCCTCCTCCTCGCACCCAGCCCCGCGGCCTCGCCCTGCCCTGGACCCCGCGCCGGGCACACAGGCCCTCACGTCCTCTTCTTCCAGGGCGGCGGGCGCTTCTCCTTCTGCGTATCGGCCTGGCGCTTCTTCTCGGCCTCCTCCGCCTTGCGCTTCTCCTCCTTGGCCTCCTTGTACCGCCACTTGGGGATCTGCAGGTGGCCGCTGTCCTTGGTGCTGCCCTTCCGCGCCGGCCGCTCGGGCTGGAAGGTGGGCGCGGGCGCCTTGGAGACGCGGACTCGGGGCACCACCACGCCGGGCCGCACGCTGCTCCGCCGCAGGCGCTGCAGGGGCAGGAGGCTGGACTTCCGCGGGGCGGGCGCGGCGGGGCCCCGGGACCCCGGCGGCGGGGCGGGCGGGAGGCTGGCTCTTGGGGAGCCCTCCTGGGAGCCTGCGTCTGCCGGGCTGGTCCGCCTGCGCTGCCCGGCGCCCCCAGACTCCTCCGCCTCATGCGCCCGGGGCCCCCGCGCCGCCAGGATCTCCTGCACCGCCAGCCGCCGCTTCCCCACGCACGGGGGGCTCTCGGGACACACGGTCTGGCACACGATGGCCACGGCGGGGCTGTAGAGGCTAGTGGTCATCCTGACCATGTGGTCCAGGGCGCCCCCATCCTCCGGGCTCCGCACGGAGCGCGGCGTGAGCGCGGACAGCACGCAGTCCGTGAGCCTCTGCAGGCAGTTCTTGGAGCCCGCGGGCTTCCTCGCAGCCTCGGGGAGCGGCGGCAGCTCCGGCCGGTACTTTTCCCCAAACTGTTCCGGGCAGGGGCGCTCCAGCAGCCTTTGCATGAGGCGAACGGCATCCACGCGGCCAGTGTAAGTGGCCCACTCTTGCGGAGACATCCCACGGCGGGGGTCCCTCGCGTGGACATCCGCCCCTGCAAAACGCAAAACACAAACAGGAGTGGGTGGCGGGAACCAGGACTCTTCCCTCCGAAGGCAGAGCCTGGGACAAAGGCAGAACGGCCCCCGCACCTCCTAACAGACTCCACCCTAGACCCAGCCACTCCATGAACCCCGTGCACACCTGAGCGCCCGAGCGCAGGCCTGGAGTGCAGTGGTGGGAACACGGCCCACTGCAGGCTTGACCTCCCGGGCTCAAGTGATCCTCCCAAGTCAGCCTCCCGAGTAGCTGGGACTATACCACCGCCCAGCTAATTTTCTGTAGAGATGGGGTCTTGCTATGTTGCCCAGGCTGGTTTCGAACTCCTGGGCCCGCCTCCACCTCCCAAAGTGCTGGGATTACAGGCATGAGCCACTGTGCCCAGCCCAACCTGCCTTTTAAGTGCTGCATTTGATTATCTGTCCTGAATAAAACCCCACGTGAATTCGGCACCTAACCTGCAGAATATTTTGAAGAAATAAGATCCTATAGCTGTCAATGGAGAGATGACTAGACAACAAAGCTGACTTGGATACTTGAATGCTGCACCTAGAATGTTCTAAAACTACAACCAGTAACAGCCACTGGCAAAGTGGTCGGTGCCCCAACTGTGGCCTCACTCTGAGGACTGCCGTGGGTTCTGGACTGTGGGAAATGGGTGTCCTTTGCTTCTCCCACTGAGGCCTAGCTGGCTGGGTTCTGACCACCTTTAACAGATGGTGGGCTTTTCCAGGACAGAAACATTCATTTTTGTTTGCTCAATACATCTCATGCTGTTCGGTCAGGGGCGTGAATTTTAAAAAGGCTTGTTGCAAAATGAATGGCAGTCACAGTGGCTGTGGGTCCTGCCTGGGACCACCAAGCTGGTAACAGAGAGAGTCTAAGACTTGGGTGTCCTGACCTCAGTCTAACGTACTTCCTACCACCTGCTGGCAGGGCCCGTGTGATGGTTAGTTTTAGTAATCAAACATGGATCTAGGTGTTGCCCCAAATGTATTGTGTAGCTACGGTTAACATCTATAATCAGTTGACTTTAAGTCAAGGAGATTACCCTTCATAATGTGGGTGGGCCCCACCCAATCAGTTGAGGGCCTTCAGAGCAAAGAGCGAGGTTTCCTGGAGAAAAAGAAATACCGCCTCAAGACTGTAGCATCTGCTTACTCCTGCCTGAGTTTCCAGCTCTCACACCTACCGCACCAACTTCAGACTCCCCAGCCCCCACAATCACAGAAGCCAATTCCTTAAAATAAATCTCGTGATATCCACATCCTATTGGTTGACTAACATGTCCCCTTACACAGTCTCCCCAGTCACTCTCTTAATAAATCTCCCCAGGCCACCCACTGCCCCCAAATATTGCAAAGTTAAACTTGAACTCAACTTGATGAAATCTGCATAAATTTCAACATTGCAGTATGGAAATTAACATGGAATTGCTGTTGAATTAATCTTGGTCTAATCTCAGCCCCACATGCCGTTAAAAATCATTGAGAGGCCAGGTGCGGTGGCTAACACCTGTAATTCCAGCACTTTGGGAGGCCGAGGTGGGCAGATCACCTGAGGTCAGGAGTTCAAGACCAGCCTAGCCAACATGGTGAAACCCCATCTCTATCAAAAACACAAAAAAATTAGCTGGGCGTGGTGACGGGTGCCTGTAATCCCAACTACTCAGGAGGCTGAGACAGGAGAACTGCTTGAACCCAGGAGGCAGAGGTTGCAGTGAGCTGAGATTTTGCCACTGCACTCCAGCCTGGGCAACAGAGCAAAACTCCATCTCAACAAAAAAAATAATAATAATTGAGAATTTCAAGTCCCGTTAGTCAAATCTCCACAGGCAAAGCCACATGGAGAACTAGGGCAATTATCTAGTCTGTGAGCCCCTCAGAGACCAGGCCTTGACAGACGCTTCTTCATTTACATCCTACACTCCCACACAGACCCAGGTGTCTGACAAGCGATGGCTGATCAATATGTGCCGAAGTGAGGAAGGCGGGGTCCCCAGCCGCTGCCCTGCCCTGCCGCCTGCAGTGGCATCATGGCTCTGGCAGACCTAGCTCACCTGAGCTTGCCTGGTAAGGATCGTAACTCTGTGACACATTAAAGAATAGCCATATTAGAAGAGTGGTAATTATTTAGAACTGGAGATCACGATGGAACTCATTAGCTAGAGTACAATTTATAAACTGACTAAAATGAAAAGGGGGCAGTAAAAGTGTCATCACAAAAAATAGATGACACATTAAACCTTAATTAATTGCATGTCACTTAAAAAAGGAACAAACTGCAAAATTAAAATCTTAATGAACAGTGCCTGAAAGAGACATTTTTCAAATTAATGGAAAACTAGAAGAAGAGCTGTCCAAAGTTTTGTACTCTTCGTCCTGATGTTCGCCTACCTTTTCTGATCCCAGAAAATATAAAGACTCTAAGGAACAAAGGCCACTGAGCTCTAGAATCTGAGTCATGCTATAAATTAGGGATCTGCTGCCTTGGAAAAGAGTGTGAAGGGTCACATGAATGACCTGAACACAGTAGTTAAATTACAAAAGACAAGTACTGATGATGAACATTATACAAATACCTTCCAGAGAATACAGAGGATTTCTGAAATACCACCGTATCCATCTTCTCCCCAGGAGACCCCCAGGATTCTCGCCTCCCACCCAGTGTTGTTTGCCCAGGTGGACAGGAGTGGGACTGCTGCCTACAGGTCCATTCGCTGCCTTGCTGAGTGCTCTAAGTCTACACAAAATCCTGTTTCACTTGAGGCAGCAACATCCCCCGTTCTTGGCAATGCATCATGATCAGTCTAACCCAGGACCCCTGGACCTCGGCACTATTGACATATTGGGCCAGCTGATTATTTGGTGTGGGCTGTCCTGTGCATTGGAGAACGTTTCACAGCATCCCGATCCCTACCTTCTTCTAGATGCCAGTGGCACTCTGCCAGTTCTGACAACCAAAAATGCCTCCAGACACATTTCTCCAAATGTCCCCTGGGGCAGCATTATCTCCAGCTGAGAATCACTACTCGATTCCAATGGCTGCAATCCTGTTCCCCATTTTCCCAGCCTCCCTTAGGACTAAAAGCAGCCAAGCAGCCCCGCACTGGTCACTGAGACCTAAAGAGGGTTTTGCCTCCTGATGAAAGGGACCAGTGTGGTTGGTGCTGCTGCAGCTTCCTGTCTGAAACAAGGGTCGGGTGATTCGCACGGAATCAACAGGCCAAGGGGAGCCGAATGGACAGGAGGAAGCCACCGGGGTCTGTGTTGTCCTCATGGAGTCCAGGACCAGCTCTGGAGGGTGACTGCCAACCTCAGAGTTCTTGGGAGCTGAGAAATGCAGCCTGTTTTCTTGAAGCCAGTCTAGTCAGGATTTCTGTTACTTGCAACCAAAAGCATTCCAAACAGATGCTAATGAGAAAAAAAAAAATGGATACTGTCCATCACTCATTCTTGGGAATGCTTTCCCCAGGGGGGCCATGGCCACACCCAGGACTAGCAGGAGGTGGGTGGAGCGCGAAGATCTGAATGTGTCACTTCCTTTCCTGTTGCTCCACCAGCCCCCACCCAGCCCCTTGTTATCCACGCTACAAACCCCAGCTCAGGTCTCCCTCTTGCCAGGGGGCCTTTCCTGGCCACAGGGGAACACTGTGGACCAGCCCTCACTGCCTCCTCTTGTGTCACCTCCAGCCGGTATCTTGGGCACTGTGGGTATAATCGGGATGACAAATCTGGATGCAGGGTCCCAAGAAAAGGCTTGTGCTCCAGCCCAGCAGTGAGGACAGCCACCCCCGCCACACAGTAGGTGGGAAGCGTGCTCAAGGTCCTCATATCCCCTCAGAGAGGGGCTGGCACTGGAGGACAAACTTCCCAGCACCTCTGCAATGTCTTTTCCTCACCAGGGGGTCTGAGTCCCAGCTTCCTGCAAAGGAAACCTGCTCATTGGTGCACATTTCTTAGCTTCCATTCTTCCCAATCTCACTTCCCGCCCTCACTCCACTTCCTGGGACCTCCTTCCCACAAAACTACTTGCCCCCAAGTCCTTGTCTCGGAGTTTGCTTTTCGGGTGACACAGAATGCGTGACTTTTCATCCTTTCCTGGCTATTGACTTCAAACAATTCTACATGACAAATTCACACTTAAAAGGAACTCTGTTTTCCTCACAAATAGAAAGGATACCTCTACCTGGTTGGAAATCATCTGGCTTTCCAGAAGGAGATATCAGAGTTTGCCTAAGACAAAAGCAACCCTCCCACCCACAGTGGGAGCATCTCCGATCTCTGTTCCTCGCCGGCCTTTAAATCCTCTTTGCTCCTTAAAATCACAGCAGGATTTGAGGTTACTGCTGCTTGTTTTTGCTTCCTGAAGGCTGCAGCAGTTACACCATACTTCAGGTCTAAGAAGTGAGCTCTCATAAGCAAGCCTGGAACCTGCCAACCTCCACAAATTCTGTCTCTCTTCAGAAAAAAAATAATATCCTCACTAAGCTTCTCAGAGCCACCTATTTAAATAGACCATCACTGTGGGGCATTCGTATTTCAGTGAATTGACAAGATTCTGCAGGTCCCCTCGTGATGCTCTTCAGCAGGTCCCGCGTTATTTCTTACAAAGCCAAAACCAGAGATGCAATCCATCAGCTTCTCATAACCTGGTTATACTTTTTATCAAAATCTGAAGTGCCAATCTAAAAGAAGGCTCTGGCTATTAGTTTCTTTAAATGGTTTAATTTTTCTTAATATCAGATATTTAAATGGAAAGAATAAGAGTTAACATATTTGTGCAAATTTTAAAAATATTTCAAGAGCTGTCTTTATTGCTGTCCACTAATTCCAGGGAAGCAATTCAACACTTTTTTTTGTTAATACTCATACATCTACTTTAAAAGGAAAATAAAACCCACTTTTCTTGGGAGAACTATAAGCTCACTTAGTACTAACAGTAGAAGACGAAAATATTCTAGAAGTTAAACACTACAACCAAAGCCTAAGTGGGCAGCTCAAAAGCTCATTTAAAAAAAAAAAATGTCCCTTTTTTGTTTTTGAGACAGAGTCTTACTCTGTTGCCAGGCTGGAGTGCAGTGGCGCGATCTCGGCTCACTGCAACCTCTGCCTCCCAGGTTCAAGTAATTCTCTTGCCTCAGTCTCCCAAGTAGCTGCAGGCGTGTGCTACTATGCCCGGCTAAATGTTTTTGTATTTTAGAAATGGGGTTTCACCATGCTGGCGAGGTTGGTCTCAAACTCCTGTCCTCAGGTGATCCACCCACCTCAACCTCCCAAAGTGCTGGGATTACAGGTGTGAGCCACTGTGCCTGGCCAAGATGTCACATTTTATCTGAGGGAGGATTACAGAGCAAGCAAGGAAGAATACACAGAGGGGAAAACACCTCTTCTCTCTTTGTCCGTCCTTTCCCATTTAAATTAGTTACATCAGCGGTTCTCAACGGGAATCAAATTTCCCCCCAACTTTGGAGACTTTTAGCAACATCTAGAGATGTTTTTGGTTATCACAGCTGGGAAGGTGCTACAGTCATCTTGTGGATTGAGACCAGGGAGGCCACTAAAAATCCTACAATTTGAGGCCAGGTACTGTGGCCCATGCCTTTAGGAAGCCGAGGTGGGCAGATCACAAGGTCAGGAGATCAAGACCAGCCTGGCCAACATGGTGAAACCCTATTTCTACTAAAAATACAAAAATTAGCCAGGTGTGGTGGCATGCGCCTGTAATCCCAGCTACTTGGGAGGCTGAGACAGGAGAATCACTTGAACCAGGGAGTCAGAGGTTGCAGTGAGCTGAGATTGTGCCACTGCACTCCAGCCTGGTGACAGAGTGAGACTCTGTCTCCAAAGGAAAAAAAAAAAATCCTACAATTTGAAAGCGCCACAACAAAAAATTATCTAGCCCTGCATGTCAGTAGTGCTGAAATTAAGGAAGCCCTGAGGTAAGGGCTTACTACCCTCATTAAGAAAGCTTACCTATCTCATTCACAAGATATTTTTCAAAGGGAAAAATAAACCACATTTTTTCATTCATTTAATGGATAACTATTGAACACATAAACTCACCAATAATAACAGTAATCACAACCAACACGGTGGGAAGGCTTCTCCAAGCCCAGCCTGCACCTGGGGCGGGGCTTTCCACTGTGACCTCACTTAGTCCCCATCCCGCCTTCCTGTGGTGGGTGCTATCATTAGCCTCACTTTATAGAAGAGGAACCTGAGGCCCAGTGAGGTGAGTGACAGGCTGCAGGTGTAGAGACGGAAAGTGGAGAAGATGGATTTGAATCTGGGTCCTGGCTGCTGGGTCGTACTTCGTACGGGACAGGGAGAGACTCACTAGATGCAGACAATAATCTGTGGATTGTTCTAGACTGTGTTGGGGGATAGGGCTTGCAAATCGGGGAACAGGGAAGGGAGAGTATAAATCTAATGCCAAGTTTGTGTCCAAATAACTTATGGGAGAAAAGCAGTGTCAGCAGCAAACCCACCGCCCTCTCCAGCAGGCTCATCTTTCCAAGAGATGTGTTAAGGTGTTTCTGGAATCCTCTAAATGCTGTCACACATACCTGAAACCCCCAGGAGACCCAGGGAAGAAAGCATGGCAATCAAGCAGAGTGAATAGAGGGCAACTGACCTAAAAAAGGTTTGTAGTTAACTCAAATTAACTCAATGGGAAACTGCACTGATGTCACTGACATAATAAATGTTCAGTTGAAAAAGTAAATTACTAAAGATCTACACTCAATTATAACTAGATCCAGGAATAGTAAAAGCGTCTGAAGCTCCCGCCGAACACAATGCACCGCATAATCACCATTTAATTAGAAGGAACCATTTCTCATTGATAAGGACAGGCGGGGCCGAAACTCTGTTGAAACTGATAATCTCGTTCTATAAAAATGAAACTATCATCTCTGAATCAAAAGTACAATTGATGGGACTCATTTTAATTATAATTTTTTTTATTTCCAAGAAAGTTTCCATCTTTGAAGCCTCTATTCACATTCACTGAACTTATTTTTTTACAGCATCCCCTAAGACTAAAGAATCCCCTAAGGTTAAACCAGAAGGGAAAATAAATCTGAAGCAGTTGTGAATCCTCTAACAAATCAACAGACGGGCTCAGACTGGGCGGCACTGCACACTGGCTGGTATAAGACTGTCCCGTCATGAACAACAGGTTATGACAGAAACTTCAGACCAAAGAAGATTGGGGGCGGGCCGCGGGAGCTCAAGCCTGTAATCCCAACACTCCAGGAGGCTGAAGCGGGAGGATCACCTGAGGTCAGGAGTTCGAGTCTAGCCTGGCCAACATGATGAAACCCTATCTTTACTAAAAGTACAAAAATTAGCCAGGTGTGGTGGTGTGTGCCTGTGATCTCAGCTACTTGGGAGGGTGAGGCAGGCGAATTGCTTGAACCCGGGAGGTGGAGGTTGCAGTGAGCTGAGATCATGCCACTGCATTCCAGCCTGGGTGACAGAGTAAAACAGTCTCAAAATAAAAAAGAAGAAGAAGACTGGGACAACTAAGGAGAGGACAAATAAATGTGGGCGCTCAGCGGGGGTCCGGGACCAGAAAGGGACATTAGTGGGAGCACTGATGCCTGGGAAAACTCTGATGCCACTCTCAGGATAACCAAGGGTGGGGCGGGGGGGGGCGGGGGGTGTGCTGTGGTCTGAATGTTGACTGATCCTCCAAAATTCTATGCTGGAACTTCAGACCCACTGGGGTAGTATTAAGAGGTGAGGCCTTTAGGAGGTGATTACATTATGGGGCTCTGCCCTCCTGAATCAAACTAGTGCCTTATGAAAGAGGCCTTGAGGGTGCCTCAGTGTCCCCTCCTCCATGAGAGGAGACAGCAAGAAGGAATCGGCGTCACCAGACACGGAACCTGCTAGCACCTGGATCTTGGATGACTCAGCCTCCTCAGGTACAAGCAATAAATTTCTACGGTTTACAAATCACCCAGGTGAGGTATTTTGTTACAGCAGCAGAACAACGAAAAGGAAATCCACTTCTTCAGGAACTTGCAGAGCCAAGCAGGACTGGCTGAACTCAGTGCCACGAACAAAAATAAATATAAAATAACAGAATTAAAGAACGGTGAAAGCAGCATCGCACATTCACTGAGATGTAAGCTGCTAATTAAATCTAACACAATGTGTGCTTGACACACATTTTCTCATTTAATTCTCAACCCGATGAGGTTGCATGAAGGGTGATCGTCGATTCTATTTCAGAGAGAAGGCAAGAATTAAAGCTGTTAGTTGTGTGTCATTTAGTGTAGTAGCTCATTGAAGCTGGAGAGCCCTTAGGAGTCTATAAAGTATTGTCGTATTTCAGCCTCAGGGAGGTGAAAAGGAAGAAAGAGATCATTACTCCCATTTCACAGATGTGGACAGGAAAGTGCTTTCTCCAAGATGGTAACAAAGACAAAGGGGGGTTGATCCAGGTTGATAGCCTGAGAACTTTCCACTCTATGATACAACATAGAAAAAGGAAATTGCCACACACATCACCAGAAATACCACATCACCTCCTAAAATCACCAAGCAACTCCACGTCACCTCCTAACACCACCATGCAACCCCACGTCACCTCCTAACGTTACCATGCAACCCCACGTCACCTCCTAACACCACCACGCACCCCACGTCACCTCCTAACATTACCATGCAATTCCACGTCACCTCCTAACACCACCACGCACCCCACGTCACCTCCTAACGTTACCACGCAATTCCACGTCACCTCCTAACACCAGCATGCACCCGTCACCTCCTGTTACCATGCAATTCCACGTCACCTCCTAACACCACCACGCACCCCACGTCACCTCCTAAAATCACCAAGCAACTCCACGTCACCTCCTAACACCACCATGCACCCCACGTCACCTCCTAACGTTACCATGCAATTCCACGTCACCTCCTAACACCACCACGCACCCCACGTCACCTCCTAACATTACCATGCAATTCCACGTCACCTCCTAACACCACCATGCAACCCCACGTCACCTCCTAACGTTACCATGCAATTCCACGTCACCTCTTACCGTTACTATGCAATGCCACCCACCAGCAAGCAGAGAGCTAGGACTGCCTGGGCCATTCCCACAGCCGCTATGCCCACCTTCAGCAGCACAGTCTTGCCATTTACAGCCAAGACATCACCCCTTTCTGAGGAGGAACAGGACAGGGCTTGGAGAGTAGAATGGGTGGGCAGGAGAAAAATAGGGGGTGAGGGAAGATGCCATCCACTGCCAAGCTCAGCAGGGAGCAGAAAGGGGCATCCTCACAGGAACCAATGCTGTGACTTCTCTCCGTGATCCTAAAAGCACTTGCTTTTGGCTTTTTTAAAAACTCAGATGACAGCAGTACACCTCAGTGACGAATCTATTCTTTATTGCAACAACTAGGCTTTGTTTCTATGGGGATGATTACTATCAAAACATTCTGTAAAGGAGCAACCCTGCTGCCCCGGGGCCCCTGCAAGCTGCAGGGGACAGGGGACATACCTGCCAGCATCAGGGCTCGGATGCAGTCGGTTCGACCCTGCATGGCGGCTTTCATCAGGGCGGTGAACCCGAACGCGTTCCTCCTCTCAAGGTCAAGACCGGGGAAATAGTTCAACAAGTAGTTGGTGATGATCGCGTGTCCTGTAAAGAGAAGTATACACGTGTATTGGTTCCCACTCCCACAGAATGTGCCGATCCAGCCAGGCCTTCCTAGAAAGAGAAAGAGACGCCAAGACAGCCCTGGACCAGCCGGTCTGCTGTGTGTTTTCCTGGGACTCCAAGATAGAATTCTCCTGGAGCCCAGGAAACGGAGGAAAGCAGAGGGCGCTGCCCTGGCTGCAGCACTGCTGTTTGGGGTTCATGCGGGTCCCCTTCAGCAAAGCACTCGGGGGAGGAGCTGCCCCATCACACTGCCGGGGTGGATGTGGGGAGCAGGGAGGCTGCCGGCAGGTAGGGAGCGCAGCCCCAGGCACCAAATGCAGTCAGGAAGCCTCAACTCCCAGCAGGAGACGCCCATGCAAACAGATGCGAAAGCTGCAAATGAGCTTCAGAACCACTTCCAAGTGCTCTGGAGCTGCAGGGAGGAAAAAGCCATTGTCATAGCAATAGGACAGTGCCAGTTCCCACCCAGAAGCAGGAGTCTCTCTCTCTATTGTGCCCGCTTCCTCCTGCAGTCAGCCTCTCTCTCTCTCTCTCTCTCTCTCTCTCTCTCTCTCTCTCTCTCTCCTTCTCTCTCTCTCTCTCTCTCTCTCCCCCCCTACCCCCACATACATCTCACAGAGTGTTGCAAGCAAGGCCCTTGGCTATAAAGCAAAGTGGGTAAGGAGATTTCTTAGACAACACAGATTTCTCCCTTTTGTCAACTTGTACCTCCAAAAAGGATCTGACTTTCAGCCCATTCCCAGACGGGCCCACGGTGCTCTAGGTGAATGGCGAATAAGGAGAACATCACAGCAACAACATCACAGCAACAGTGCTGTTTCCAGGATTCACCATGCAAAGCCAAAATGGTCTGGGAGAGCATCCCCTTGGGTCAACTGTCCATGCCGCCTGGCGCCAGCTAGCCCCTAAGTCCTTGTGTGAGTGCACCCCGCCCTCCCCCACTTCAGCGCCCTGGGGCAGGTCCCAGCCTCAGCAGTCGCCACGGTCGGCATGGGGGCGGTGCATGACTCTTGGTTGTGGGACTGCCCGTGCACTGCAGGACAGATCCCTGCTCTCTACCCATTAGACGCCAGTAGCAGCCATCCCTACTCCTGCACAGGTTGTGACAATTAAAACTGTGTCCAGACACTGCCAAATCGCCATTGGCAATGCAGGAACACCCCAGCTGAGAACCACTATCCTAGAGTGAAATCTCAGATTTCCCTCCTTCATGACCGACCACACCTGGTGGAAGAGCTTCTTCTCCCTTCCGCTGCACCCTCCCCTCAGCTGTCACCTCTGGCAGGCCCCTGCTGATGAGTCTGAAGCCCTTGGGAATGTGAGCTGTCTGCCAGTCTCTCTTCCCGAATCCCAGGGGAGGTGCAGGTTACGCAGTTCCCATCCTCTTTGTTTGTTTAAGAGATGGAGACTCTCTCTGTCACCCAGACTGGAGTGCAGGAGCGTGATCAGAGCTCACTGTAGTGTAGACCTCCCAGGCTCGTGAGATCCTCCCTCCTGAGCCTCCCAAGTAACTGGCCTCACAGGCGAGCACCATCACACCCAGTTAATTCTTTTATAATATTTTTGTAGAGGTGGGATCTCCCAGTGTTGCCAAGGCTGGTCTCAAACTCCTCCATTCAAGCAGTCCTCCTGCCTCAGCCTCCCAAAGTGCTGGGATTACAGGTGTGAGCCACTGTGCTTGGACACAGGCCCCACTCTTAAGCACCCATGATGCAGTGCTCAGAAATCCCCACTCAATCATTCCTACTCAAGTATGTTCCTTCCAGCCCCGACTATCGGGGCTTTGGGGGCCTCGTGGCCATTCCTATGCACTCCCTCCTTAATTTGGTATTGCCTCCCCTCAGGAGCCCCTGAATCATGGAGAAGCCGGGCCCAGGGGCCCAGAATCCCCGCTGGCATCTGGTTTGCACAGAAACTTCCAATGGGTGGCACTGCCTGAGATTTGGGATGGGAGAGAGGCTGCAAGGACATTGCTCTGGTGTCAGGCAGCCATGAGACCTGAGTTGCCTCCCGGGCCCAGCTCACCTCCGCAGACTGAGAATACCAAGCCAGCCTGAGGCTGCGGCAACTTCCAGAATTTCCCGCTGCAGCTCAGATCTCCAGCAGGCAGGGCTGGGCGCCCTTGGCCTCTGCTCCCCCTGCCCCTTCAGTTCAGTAAATCCAATATGAAACCCTCCGATTCATCAAGCGGCTCTGTCTCCCCAGCCACCCTCCGAGGGATAACACTGCCGGGGCTGGAACTTCCTCCTTTGAGGGCCACTGGGGGCTGCTGCCCCACCAATGTGATTTGCTGTGGATTTGCTCTTCATCAGTCCAAGTGAAGAACCAACAGGCAGCCACAATCCGGGGTGAACCCTCCTGCAGATCACGGCGGCGCCTTACCACTGACCTCATCACATCTCCTGAGCTCACCGCACATGTGAAAAGGGGAACACGCATATATCTTTTTGAAAGAGAAGCCCTGATGAATTAGGACCTTAACAAGCAGGAAACAAAGGGAGACCCCCGGCTGTGTGACTCACAGACAGCCTCCGGTGCTTTTCTGACTGGTTTACACCACATCGTCCTCCCTCCTCTTTTACAGAACATCTTTTACAGGACGGGGGAGGGTAAGGCCAGCAGTCAGGCACCCAGAGCTGCTGAATGACTTTCACCTGGGTAGTGGGGGAAGGTGGGGGCATCCTTTGATCTCAGTTTGGTTTAAGGTCCAGTTAAAGGCTTGATGGCACCTGTCAGATTTAACCAGGGTCATAGTGAAACCAACTGCAATTCGTTTGGAGCCATTTTTTTAAAACTGTGAAATAGAGTGTCCGTCACAGTCTTCAGCAGGACGTTCCTTTGCACTGATATATCCTAAGCACTTTGAGCAGATGGAAAGAAGAAAAACTGGAAGTCCACAAGGCAAACCACCCATTATACACACCTGTTCTGCCTGTTATGTTGAGTTCACAAAGACCAACATGCAGCCAACTTGTTCTGACTCTAAGCCTGAGCTTCCGAAGATCCCAGAAATCACACCCTGCTTCCCACAGGCTTTCCCAGGATGACAGAATAATACCTCTTATCACATAGATGAACCCATTCAATGGAAATCAAAGGTGGACCCAATACTTCTAAGAATATATACATATTAACCTTTCTTCTTTAAAAACCATGATGACTAACCAAAGGGAGTTTTCCTAAAATATATATATGAGATACACAGCCTTCCATGCACAAGGAAACCCAAACACACGCCATATTGAAATCTGGTTTGAGGCTGGGCAGGGTGGCTCACTCCTGTAATCCCAGCACTTTGGGAGGCTGAGGCAGGCAGATCACTTGAGGGCACCAGCCTGGCCAACATGGTGAAACCCTGTCTCTACTAAAAATACAAAAATTAGCTGGGCGTGATGGTGCATGCCTGTATTTCCAGCTACTCGGGAGGCTGAGGTGGGAGAATTGCCTGAACCTGGGAGGTGGAGGTTGCAGTGAGCCGAGAATCCACCACTGTACCCCAGTCTGGGTGACAGAGTGAGACCCTGACTAGTTTGAGCCCAGTCCAACTTGGACATTATGAATCAGGCTTGGTTCCTGAAATCCTCAGAGAAGCCCTTTTAAAGGGTAGGCTCACCCAGAACACCCCCTCACCCACAATGAGCCCTACCCTGCTTAAGAGAGGATCACAAGTGCCCCAATGAGGAAGTGCATTTGAATGAAATCGTGTCACTGGGACACAGTGGAGACAATGAGCTCAGTAATGAAGAGAGCCGGCTCTGGGAACAGCCAGGTTCAAGGCCCAGGTCTGCCACTTAGAATCTGGGTGGCTTTCGGAAGTCAACTTTTCCACATCTATAAGATACGAGATGGTGTCAACCTCCCAGTTGTGAAAATTACAGGAGATAATGTGGGCAAAACGTGCTCAGCAGAATAGAAAAATCTCCTGGAAGAAAAATTCCAAGTAATCTAGGCAGGCACTCCACTCTCAAGGAGCTAGAACATAGTTCCCCACTCCTTAACCCGAGGGCTGTGTGCAATGACTTCCCGTCAGAGTATTAGTGGAAACGGGAGAGGAGAGAGACCTTCACGGTGGAGAAACCTACTAACATGTCCTCAGCCAGGTGACCAAGGCCAGCGTCATCATGATGGGTCAGCTTGGTAGCGGGTCTCCTGGTGCCACGTGCTGGGAATAGTCTTTTACACGAGGGTCTTCCTCCAAAAACTCAGAACTCCAGTCTCATCACAGGAAAAGCATCAGGCACATCCAAATTAAGGAACATTCTACAATGTACCCAACCAGTCCCCCTCAAAACTGTCAAGGTCATGAAAAACAAGAGAAGTCTGAGACACTCACAGCACAGCCAAGGGGAGCCTGAGGACCCACGAGGGCTACATGCCACGTGCAATCCTGCCACAGAAGAAGGAAATCTGGGAAACGCTGAGGAAATCTGAATAAAGACTGGACTTCAGTTAACAGTGGTGCATTGAAAGCGGTCCATTCACTGTGTCCAGCACAGCACGAATGTCAGATCTTAACAGCAGAGGGGACCGGGGCAAGGCACACAGGCATTCTCTGTACAGTGTTTGCGGTTTCTCTGTAAGTATAAACTGTTCTCAAATCAAAAGTTTATTTTAAAAAAGAGGAGAACTGGCCGGGTGTGGTGGCTTACGCCTGTAATCCCAGCACTTTAAGAGGCTGAGGTGGACAGATCACCTGAGGTCAGGAGTTTAAGACCAGCCTGGCCAACATGGGGAAACCCCGTCTCTACTGCAAAAACAAAAATTAGCAGGCGCCTGTAATCCCAGCTATTCAGGAGGCTGAGGCAGGAGAATCACTTGAACCCAGGAGGCAGAGGTTGCAGTGAGCCAAGATCATGCCATTGTACTCCAGCCTGGGTAACAGGGCGAGACTCCATCTCAAAATAAATAAACAAATAAAAATTAAAAGTAAAAGTAAAAAGGGGAGAACTAGCACAGAGTCATTCAAAACGAGCGCAAGG